TTTTTCTAATATCTAATAAAATTTTAATTTTTATTAATTCTAATATTAATATATAAGAGTATCCCTCTACTCTATCTAGCTAGTATACTAATTAATTAGTAGGTTTATATTTTAAAGCTATAATAACTCTAGTATAACTTTATAGGTTCCTAATAGTACTAGGTTATAGATAATATTAAATTTCTTTCCTTAGATTTTAATTATAAGATAATTAGTCTTAGAGTTAATAATCCTATTATTATATTTAAACTTTAAATCTTTAATATTTATAACTATATAGATTTCTTTCTTCTTTCTTTATAGTAGGTAGAGTTAATTAATTACTATTAGTAAAATATAATTTTCCTATACTCTATAGTTAATAAATACTATAAGCTAGTTCCTCTTAATCTTTATTTCTATAAGAATATATATAGAGCTTTCTGTTTTTATAGCTCTTAGGATTCTCTAATCTATTATTAATATTATTCTATACTATAGCTCTATTATAGATAGTTTAGATTATTTTTTATCTAGTTAATTTATTCTTATAATTTATTTAGTAATAGTATATTCTATCTATTATATATTTTATTCTATTCTTATTTATTAGTAGAGATAATTCCTAATTCCTTCTTATTACTACTTTCTTTACTAGCTATTAGGGAAGGTTACTCTTTTAAGCAGTATTTTTATAGTTTTTCTTCCTATAACTATTATTATTAAAGGTATAGCTTAGTAGTATTTATATTATTATTACTATACTATACTAATACTAAGGTTTCTTATTTAATTTCCTAGTAGTTTCTATATAGCTATTTATTATAGTATTTAATTTATCTATTATAGTTATATATTACCTGGTCCTCTATATACTTAAAGTTATACTATTATTTAACTTTAGTATCTTTATATACCTTATACTTCTATTCTTAGTATATTTCTATTAGTATTTCTTTAAAGATATATTTAGTAGGATATTCTTCTAAATCCTCCTTAAAGATAGTATATAGTTCTATTCTATAGTATTAATAGGTAAAGTATTATATTTAAACCTTCTTATATTTTCAGGGTATTCTTCTATTAGGAAATAGAAAGAAATTATTTCTTATTTTATCCTTCTAATATATCTTATACTATATATTATAATAGATTATCTATAATTCTTATCTATAGTTATATATACTACTAGTCTTTATATAGATTAGATTATTATAGCTATTACTAGGGTATTAGATAGCTTCTATAGTACTTCTTTTATAAAGTACTATTCTAATTATTTAATTAGGGTTTTAATTCTATATTTTTTTTTAGTAGTAAGTATATAGTTTATTATATTTAGTCTTAATTTTATCTCTAGTAAACTAGTATTATTTCTATTCCTTAGAGATATATTTAATAAGCTTATTAATATAGTAAAATATATATTTATATTTAGTAAGAGGCCTATAGTCTATAATATCCCTTCTATCCTTATACTTCTACTTAAGTTCTTAGAGAATATTTATAATATATTACTAGTTCTTTTTTAATACTATTTACTTTTTCTTTTCTCCTTTTTCTTCTTCTTCTTCTTCTTCTTCTTCTTTACTTTCTTCTTTTTCTTTACTTTCTTTTTCTTTCTTACTTTCTTCTAGTATCTTATAGAAACTTAGTAAGGGTTTTCTGGAAAATATAAATACTATAGTAGTTATCTAGTTTCCTTTCTAGATAACCTTTCTGATTATCCTAAGTATTTTAATCTTAGTTTTCCTAGTTACTCTTAATTATTTCTTACTTTTTCTAATAGGTTTCTAATTCTTCTATTTCTTAGGCTTTAGATATTAGAATAAGATATATCTAATCTTATTATAATTATAATACTTTTATTTTTCTATAGCTCCTAGCTCTATAGGACCTATATATATCCTAGAGACTATAGATTATTACTACTATTATAATTAATTAGTATTAGTATAGTAGGTTATCTTCTTACTATAAGTCTACTAATAATATTATTAATTATTAATTCTTATAGCTATAGTTATATATTTATAAATACTTACTAGTTTATCTTCCTTATAGAGTTCCTTCTGGACTTCTTTCTTTAGTCTCTTAAAGTAGTAAGATATAGTATACTCCTGGTCCTATTTAGTTTTTACTAAAAGCTGGAGGTACCTACTACTAAAAGTAGAGATAGATCTAGTTTAAGAGAGTTTATTAATTTTATATTCAGCCTTATATCTCTTATCTTAGATTCTGAATATCTATTAGAGAGTCTCTATAAAGTAGTTAAAACTTATTATAATATTAATAGTTTATTAGCTTTCTTAACTATTAAGGTATTCCCTTATAACGGGTTCGAACTAATCGAGTACAGCCCCCTCCAGATCGCTACAGTTCTTGTCAATATCGTCCTTGTCGATAACTTCGGCCGAAGGCCCTTGGCTTGCTGGGCAGTTACCATTTCTTGGGTTGCCTGCTGTGTTGTTGGAGTACTTGGTGTGACACCTGATAACAAAGCCAAGACATATGTTTTCGTCTTGTTTGCTTGCTTTTGGAGTGGGTTCTCTCGTATTTCCCTGACCAGATAAACTTTTCTTGACGTATCTTACCAGACATTGGCATGATGACTTGCGGTACTGTCGCTACCACTTTCAACGGTGAGATTTCCTCACAACGCCTGCGTCCTTATACTGCGGCTTTCGCTGTGGGTATCACTTGTGTTCTGGGCGTCATTATGGACGTTTTGGTGCCCTTCATGGTCAACGCAAACCAGTGGAATTGGGGCTTAAAGACTGGTTGGTTCTACGCCGGAATTGGCTTTCCTGCCATGATCGGCATGTGGCTGCTGATTCCCGAATCCAAGGGGTGAGTTTTTTCCTTGATAGGGTTCTATGATCAAGGCACTTCTAACGAAGAATAGACGGTCTACCGCCGAGCTTGACGAGCTGTTTGAGAGAAAGATTAAGCCTTGGAGATTCTCTCAAACAGAGACTGCTACCGAGCGTCTGGTCAAGAACAGAGAGTAGTTATCAATACTCTTTGTATTAACCCTGATGGATAGTAATTCGGTGGCAAGTGGGGGGGGGCGCCTTTGGTTCGTGAACGGGTGATCGTTGACGTCGAGGGAGCATGAAATTTAGGCAAGTTTACGTAAGAGAATTCGAGTATAAAGTTGAACAACAATGTAAAATGCCACAGCCCGATAACTCACTTGCCGTCAGGATGAGCGGCTCATCGAATGAACTATTTGAGCTACTCTCTTTCAGCTGGCCTCCTTCGTACACGTACACGAAGAGAGAAAGGGATCAAAGATAACATCAATAGAAATGCTTTTAAGCTTTTGAAACACAATGAAAGAGAACAAAATTGGACAGGTTTACAGAGCTGACAAGTCTGGGCTGAGATTGACTCCAAGCTTAAACTTTGTGCAGTGTAGTTGTGAACCCGTTTGGGAGCAAGGACGAACGTAACAATAACTCACTAATTTTTTTTACTATAGAAGGCTAGAGATCGAGTGGTGCTTATTTATACTACTCCATAACATCCTAAGCGTCTTTAGTCATCTTGTACAAGCCTCAACACAGTCGTAAAGTCAAACGGCTCGTTATACAACCGATGTGCCTCAAAAGGCGGTGGTCCACAAGAACCTGACCCCAGGCCATGATGTGCATAGTCTAGGCTCAACAACAAGTCGTCGCAGCCCTTCAGCTCGTGCGGGTGCCTCGCCCGATCAAGCTCCTGCGGCATATGTCTCCCCGCCGTAAAGCTAAAGGGTCCATGCGCCATTCGAGCCTCAACAACACTCGTACCGCAGATTCCTGGGTCACCTTGGAGCCGGACCCAAAAGACATCGCCTCGGCTGCCGTTCTCTTGTGGCACTTCGTACGGCACGTTAGCTCGTCCACGCTCGCTTCGTACAGCCCCATGCACGAAGCTTCCGTTTTTGTCTCGGTAGCCTTCCCCCGGGCCTCGACCAAACCAGCGCACGCGGCTGTATGACCCGGGCAGCGTAGGATCTAGTCCAATACGCGGGAGAATATGCGGTGCTGGCGAGGCGGATGCTCGGCGTTCTTGATCGCCCGCAGGCCGGGACCGAGATGGTCGTGAGCGACGCCGAGAATACATACTCTAGAGTTGCTCTGACGGCCCATGATAGTGACGGGGGCGCGACACGCACCTCGGTAGTCACTTTGACATTGCCGTTCGCATTATCACCCTTAGCCTGCTCCCATTTGGCTGTTACAACGTACGAGCGCGCCCAGTCAACCATTGTTGATTTCCACTCAGCACCATCGCCACCGAAGCCAAGGTCGTTGGATGTCATGGCACGGTAAATGCTTAGCTCTGGGCCGTGGGCCACGACAACACCAGATTCAGATGTCCATTTGAAGCCGCCGCGCATGAGGTCGAAGACAATGTGGGCGTTGCAGTGAGGAGATGACACTATGAGGCGCCCAGGTGTAGTTGTAATGCTAGGGCCTGTGACGTCTTCCACCGGGATGGGCGGACTTTGGGTAATATCTCTCGGGGAAGACGATGGAACATGAATTTGAGCCCACGCGATTTCATGCCCGGCAGAAGCCCATTTTGTAGCGCTCTTCAGCTTAAAGGAGAGGTTCAACCAGGCTTCCAGCGACGGATCTGCAACAAGCCTGGAGAGACAATCGGCGGGCAGTTTGACAATTTCCGTCGAAACCCGGTGCAATATACGGAAGTTCCATCCTCTTCGGCTCGGTAGCCTCTTTGTCTTGGACCGTAACACTCTATGAACAACAGAGATGAGACAAGTTAGAGAAGAAGTAGTGGCTGCGTAGAGAGACTGTTCCATCCTTTAGGTCAAGGTTCCCGACCGTCAATGGCTCGATAACCTTCTTGTACTCAGCTAGCCCTGGTTTGGGAGTGTGATCAGACCACAGAAGCCCGTCCAGCACAAAGTCGGCGTCGTTAAGCTTGTCACCAAAGTCGCCTCCGTACCCGTAGTACTGTGCCCCGTCCTCAGTCTGGGTGAGCAATCCGTGATTTGCCCACTGCCAAACAAAGCCGCCCTGCAGCATCTTCTCGCTCCGGAACGTCTCGATGTAGTCTCGGAGACCCCCCGGGCCGTTGCCCATGGCATGTGCGTACTCGCATAAAATCAAGAGGCGATCCGTCTTGTTAGACGCATGGTCCCTCAACTCATCCAAGGTGTTGTTGTACATTGAGCTATAAAAATCTGCCGTGATGGCCTCCCGATCGGCTTCATAGTGGATCAGCCTCGTCGGGTCACGCTTCTTGACCCAGTGATACATGGCAGCCAGGTTCTGCCCATAGAAAGCCTCGTTGCCTAGAGACCAGATGATGGAACATGTCGAGTTTTTGAAGCGCTCCACGAGCTGCACCACGCGGTCCACATACGCCTCCCTCCACGCGGGATTATCCGACGTCCATGGTCTCGACTCGATATAAACCTGCTCGCGGAACTCAACCCGGCTGAGTTGCAAACCCTTGGCGGCCAACTTGGCGCACTCAGGTTTATAGAAGCCATGACATTCGAGGTCGGCTTCGTTGATGACGTATAGGCCAAGCTCGTCGGCCAGCTCGTACATCCGCGGGTCGTTAGGGTAGTGCGATGTGCGGACGGCGTTGACGTTGTGCTGCTTCATAGTCACCAGGTCGCGGCGCATAAACTCGTGTAGCACCGCGCGGCCGAGGGTAGGATGATACTCGTGGCGGTTGACGCCGTAGAAGATGATGGGCTGGCCATTGAGCAAGATGTTGGCGTTGCGTACTTCCACGCGACGAATGCCGATGCGTTGTGGAATGACCTGGTTCCCACAGATAAGGAGGATGATGTATAGTACAGGCTCCTCAGCAGACCACAATTTGAGGTCCTCTTCCTTAACTTGTAGTGTAAGCTTGGTGCTGGTATCTACTTCGCCAAGAACTTGTCCATCGGGGGACAGCAACCTAAGCTTAACGCTGCCCACGTCTCCATGAGTCTGGATGATGGCTGTGATATGGGCATGGGTAAACGTGTCGGTGAGGGTGGTGGTGAGGGTGAAGTCCGAAATGCCGTGCCGCGGGAAAGCAACCAGATAGACGTCCCGGAAGATGTCCGACATCCACCACTGATCTTGGTCCTCGATATAGGTGCCATCACAGAACTTGTACACCCGGACAGCTATCGTGTTGATGCCGTTATTTCCGCGGTTCAGGTAGCCGGTGATATCAAACTCAGCGGCGTTGCGACTGCCTTGACTGTAGCCAACTTCGCTGCCATTGACCCAGACATGATAGGCACTGTCGACACCCTCGGAGCGCAACCTCACAGAGTGAGTGCCCAAGCCCCAGTGTCGAGGCACGGGGAACTTGCGCCAGCATGAGCCCGTCTCGTTCTCCAACGGAACATTGGGGGGGGAG